AAAGCATCAATGAAACATCCCCACCCCCCCACCCCTCTTTTTTTTACTATGCTCCCTTTGCCCCATTCTATACTAGACTCATTCTATTAGGACGATCCAAAATGTTTGACAACACTCCACTAATAGTATCATTCTATATAACTTTTACCTCTTTCAAGAACTCAAATTCATTTATCTGTTCAATTTTAACCTTTGATATGATATTTTCCCTATCAAACTAATTTTTTCTCAACACTATATCCAGTCAAACACCATCATCTTGATTCCTTCTACTTTTTTTTTCTTCTCTTATCAAGGAAAACCCAACTACAAAGAAGCTTATGTTAAAAGTATTACTAGTAAAACTAACAAAAGACATTCCAATCATAATTTACTTGACAATGTAATTCTTTGGGAAATGTACCTAACCAAGTGGCAATGGAAGCACCGGTAGCACCAATGCCAAAATCTCTTACAGCATTTTGCTTCCATGAATTAAGTAGTTTAGCTTCTTCACTCGTCAGAGATTCCTACAAATATATATCATTGCAGAAACAAATAAATATCAATAAGCAAATTAGTTAGAAAACCTAATGCACCTTGATTTAATTTCTGAAAATCGAGAGAGAGAGAGAAAAAAAAGTACAATTTACCTAATCAAATAGAAAGGGAAAAAAGGATTATTTTCCTCAAGGTTAATGCACAGTAGTAGTGGAAATTTAGGGCAAAGAAGAAAGTCCATTTGAATATTAGTGCTTAAAAATGGTACCTTTCTGGAGATGAGAATTTCTTCCAGCTCAAAGAGAGCTTCCGCCATTATTCAGCTGTTTTCACTTCTGCCCCAACTCCGACTCCGACTCCCCTCCGGCTCCGACTCCGGGATCTTGATCCGCGGAAGCGGCGGAAAAATGACGAAAATAGTCCCTTAGTATATATTTAACGGTTTGATCCTTTGAGTTTGTTAAATTTTTATATCAATCAAAAATAATTTCTCTCTCACAAAATTAGAGTTAAGATTGCATCAACATCTTTCTCAAATCTCATTTGTAAAATTATACTTGGTATTAACACTTTTAGGACTCGTCTGATACGAGAGATAAAGGGTAAATGAGTTTATTTCATATTTGGTTGGAATAAATTTGTAAGATAACTTATTTTGAAATTTGTTATTCGAAATTGTAGTGTTATTTTTATCGCACATTGAAGGTGAGATAACAATCTTGGGATAACTAATATCGAGATAATTTGTTCCCCGACCAAACAAGTTATTAATCTCTCTCTCTGATATTTTACTAAATAATGAACTATATACGTTAGATTTGATGTGAACTATATCAAAAAAAACTAAACTATAAATATCAAGAAAGTCTCTCAAATTTAAAAATATGCAACATCAAATATTACACTAAGAGATATTTAAAAATAGCCTAAAATAAACCTTGAAAATTTTACAAAACTCTAGAAATAAAGTAAGAATATCATAGAAACTGCAAATATTATACCTCTAAATGCAAGTTCCCGCTAATTTCCTTTTTCTTCTTTTTTCTTTTGTGGTTTTTATCAAATCTAACCAACAAAATTTGATAATATTTGACAAAAATTAAAAGTAATATGACAAACTTAAACGACCAAAACTATTAAGTGCATACCTAAAGGACTATTTTGAACCTACTATCAAACATAAAGGACTATGTTTGTCATTTTCTTTAAAAGCGATACAGACGAATTGTGAATAGTCGAATCAACCACTAACACATTTTTTTTGTTGTTCTTGAATTGGCGGGACTTCAAATTTGTGAACTCCTATTCATTTACAAGAATGATCTAACTTTAAGGTAGGTGATTTGAACTTTAAATTTAAGAATTTATTTTTTTTAACTTCAGTTTGCTTATGAAATAAGTGAGTGTCAACGGTTTAAAATCACTTATTTTTAAGAACAATGAATAAAATTTTCTACAATATGATATTGCAATACGTGAGGTATATGAGTGATTGTTGAATTAACTTTTGAGTCTGTTTATTCGATGGATAACATTTCAAGTTAACAAATAATCATTTTTTACCTTAAAAGTTGACCCATAAAGTAAGTAGATCAATAGTTCAAGATCATTAATTTCCAAAGTAATTAGGTGTAATTTCCTAATTCAAAGAGAGCAAAAACAATATTAGCTCTTATTATCATTAGTGATTAGTGCTAGGAATAGGCAAAACGTGCATATTCATTAAATATCACTACATCAAAAATAATTTTTTAACAGCAATAGCTTAATTGATGCTAAAAGTATATTTTTAAGAATATTTAGCAATCTTTATAGTAAATATACCTAAAGTCTTAGCGACACTGGATCCAGTAACAATTAATGTCATAAAGACTTAATCACTCTTTGTTCATATGTATATTCATTGCCGCTAAAAGCTGTTTTTGTTGTAGTGTATATAATTTGACATTTCTCATGGTAGCAAGAAAATATAATCATATCTTACTCTATTATTAAATATTATATTAGCTAATTATAATATGAATTTTATACCAATTTTTGATATTATCTTATCCAATATAAGAGATGTTATAATTCTTCAATAACCTTCAGCCCTTTAATCTCTTTCATAGATCCAAAATAAAATTGTTATTTTCAGAATTACATATTATATCGTTATATAACGACAACAAATGTGTGTCCCTATTATACCTCATTGTCAATTTGATTAAAGCACTACTTTTTACAACTCACTTATTTGCTTTGTACCTAAGGAACCACAAAATATTAATGTTAGGACAATCTATATCAAAAAGAAGAACCAATCATCATGAGCCACCTTAACCTAATGTTTGGGTGGATATACGATCCTATATATGATGCACGTGAATTCATGATCTCTTTACTAAATTTAATTTTTTATAGATATTGATTTTGTTTAGCTTATATATCTCAACCCGTTTATAATTGAGTTGTGCTTTATTAATCGACTGATTGAACTCGTTGTTGATGCAAGAAATATCATATTATTAAATCAACTAATTATGTAAGTCATACTATTAATTATATGCTGAAATCATAATCATATATAGTCGTGAGTAATTAGTTGAGTCTCTTAGATCATTTTCTTGATTACTAATTGAAGTGGGTGAACTAATCCTATCTACAGCAGAAAGTGTTGTAGTGAGTCATTCTAAAATAACTTTACTTTTTTTCTATTTTTGACGTGTGCACTTAGAATTAATATTAAAAACTTCAATATCATGTGGAAAAAGTAGAAAAATACCTTTTTGTTAAAAATATACTATGATAGTTCAGTGACTTAAAGGAAAAAACAAAGACTGAATTGACTAAAAAAAATTCAAATTATCATTATTTTGCAAGTTGAAGAATTCTCCAAACTATCATGAACTTATATTAAAATAGTCTGTGAAGGAATATAACATGCTACGTAAATATTACACTGTAAAAGTACCTTAAAAAATTGACTTGCAGAAAATTTGAGTGAATAGGCTATTAAAATCTCTTAATCAATCACTATTTAGCAAGTTTCGTATCTAAATTATATTAGGTACGGTGTTCAGACCATCCCTGAACTCATTTGCTAGATGGACTAATTTTTAAGACTTTTTTCATCTACACGTATCTTAACAAGTTATCTCAATATATTCAACAGGAGATTTTTAATCTACAGTGAATTATAGTCCAAAAAAATAAAAATACCCAATCATTTAAATATAAAACTCACAAAACAATACTATAATTTAAGAACTCTTTAACTTATTCACTCAAAAATAAACAACATATACTCACATTAACAAAGAGAAATTAAACAAAACTATTAACAATAGTACTCTCCACTAAAAATATTAACATTCTATATATGTACAACACAAAGATGGTACATTACGATTTAGCCATCAAAAAGGATTGTGAGGCCTTATTCAACCTTCAAACTAATTACACCATATGTGAAACTCGCAAGTCTGACTGATTCAAATTCATATCATATAAAAATCTATTAAAAAGAAAAGTGTATGTATATATTAGTAATTTTTTTTTATATTATTAATGCTCAAACCCGATACGTTTGATAAAGAAGATACATCTCCTACTTGTTATGTACTTATTGATCTAATTGTATACTTCTTAGAAGAAGAATTTGTTGACAAATCACCTGACCTTCTTCTTAACATTTGCATCATACCATCAGCTACATGAACAGCAGGATTATTAGACTTATATTTTCTACAGAATGACATGTGAGCTTTTAAAGCTTCTTCCATTTCAATAAAATATTGTTTCTTTTTTCCTTTATTAAATTCATCTCTAACAGCTTCTGAACATAATCCACATAGCCATTTACCTTCAAAATTCTCCTTCACTTCACTTATGTACTCTATTGTACACTCTTCTTTCAATCCACAACAATCACACTTTGCCAATTCTATTTCCATTACTTAATTTTCTTGAGTTTTTGATAGGTAATACCTTTTTGGCTTTGTTTTTTTATGAGATTTATTGATATTTTTTGCTAAGTTTTTTTTTTTCTTTTTTTGGTGTGAATGGAGAGGGGGTTTAAGAGAAGTTATATAGTGAGGGGAATTAAAGGTGCCATAATTTCCTCCATGTTACATGGGACATATGGGGCAGTGGAAAATGAGACAATTTGGTCATTGTAGGGTCACATTGAGTAGTGGTCCTTTAAGTTCTTGCATAATAATAAATAAACAGCAAATATTGTATTGTCATTTTCTTATATTTACTTTCGGTTGACAAAGTTATTATTATCTTTTTTTAAATTGCGCTTTTGTGATTTTAAAATTGGAAAGTTACGTTGAAATGGAAAAGTGCTATTGAAGTGTTATGTGATTAATAATGTTTATATATTAGGTGTGAATGGTCAATAAAGTTCAACATATTTACCAAATGAGTATCGTGGAAATGTAAATGTTAATGTATACGATCATATAAGATTAGATAGAATAAAAAATGATGATCAAGTTTGTGAGTTGGTTCAATTAGTAGCACGCATCTTCTATCTATATATAAAAGGAGAAGAAAAAGTGACACATGTCAACACCACAAATTTTCAGTATTTTAAATAATTAATAATCAATAATTAAATAAATAAATATAGACACATGCAATAATTATAATTAGAATGACACATGTTAACACCACAAAAATTAAATAAATAAGTTTTAAACAAACTATTTAAAATACAAAAAAAAAACCAACGGAGAAAAAAGTAAAAAATGTTAAAATTTAATGATAATAAAAAATAATCATAGGGTGTGTGCTTCCATCTTTTTGGGGAAGTTATCATATTTTTATTTCCAATTTTTAAATAATAATAAACGTTCTTTAAATAATAATACAATAATAATAATAATAATAATAATATAATAATAATAATAACAATAACAACAATTATAATAATAATATAAAAAACATCCACCTAAATAGGACATTTTGATCGTTATTTCGTGCCAGCACCACAAAAACAGACTTTTTAAATAATTAAAAATAATTATATGTAATAGATTAAATAATAAAATACTATTTTATTTTTAAAATGATTTAAAAGCATTTTTTACAATTAAATGATTAAAACATTAAAATCATTCTAAAAATTTGGTGTTGTAATGTTTGATTCCTATTTTTTTTGTGGAAATATAATATTTCACAACCTTCTTATTTATAGAATATAATAATAATAATAATAATAATAATTTATATTTATATCTATCTGTCTATATATTAAAAATATACATAATTATATTCTTTTTAATTTTTAATTTGAATTGATCTTAATCCTTATCTGATTGATGTTTTTTGAATTTCAAATTGATGACAACTTCTCATCAACCGTTTATTAACTTCCAATGACTTCTTACTGCATTTAGCCGCAATCAGTTTGAAATTTAAATTTACCATTAGCCTATAAATAAACTACCCCATGTCTTCTAAACCACCCTCTATTTCCAAAAATAAAAAACTAC